TTGTACTGTCATCCTCAACAGTTTATAACATAACGCTAGGAACCCGCAGTCCCCAAGTTGAGGTAATCTTCCCAAAAATAAATGCTCTTACGGAGAGAAGATGTAAAGCCGTCAAAAGTGTTAACACGATTCACGTTACAACAACTTGCTCCCATCAACCGCGGGGAATACATTCAACCAAATAATTCCACTTTATACTTACTTCTACAAATTTCCTTTACTGACTTTCCTAATTCTCCACCCCCAAAACCCCCTATAACCACCATTTTTCGTAGAATAAAATGCCGGGACTAGGGGCATATGAGGTGCACTCCTTAAACTACCTTTGCCATATCTTCTTTTAAGTGACGATGAAGAGGACTACAGCTCTTCCCATGAACGGTCAAATACAGTTTGGTAGCATAGAGGGAGTATTTATGCAGCCTACACTTACTGGTCTCTAACTATTTGATTAAGTCATATAAGCTGGCTCCGCTTGAGAAAACAAGGCGCCTCGTGGCGGGCACTATCCATGTGCCAAGGCAGTATAACATATATTTCAGCTCTTAGGCGATAACAAGTTACATCGACACAATAGTACTTGAAAGTGGCACTTGCTCAAGTGAGCAGTCTGTCTGAGCCGTAGATGGAGCAGACAGAGCTAGGTTAGAAGGACCAAACTTATACCCTTCATCAGCTCATTACTCGCAAAACAACGAAGTGGCGTGAGCAATGAGATCATTTCGTCTTTTTCTTACCATGAACGTTGTTTAGTGTCAACTGTGGACCCAGTGCATTTTTGAGCTCGCGTACGAGCTGAGCGCACCCAGGTCCAATGTGGTAGAGCCAAAAACTGGCAGTAGACAGTTCTATAAATAAATATGCACCAAATAACGATGCCAGCTAAGAGTACACGAGGCAGTTTGACCGTGAATTTCGACGAGTTTCACCGCGTGCTCCACCACAGGATAGTGCAGGGACAGTGACCTGCACTGGATTATATTGAGATCAGACTCGCTATGAAGGTACCTCACTCTCTTCACTCACCTACCTAGGCTCGGTGTCAAGATAAAGTCAAGAAGACCGAAGATGGGAGAGGGCGCAAACCCACGTACAACCGGAATACCACAGGCAAAGTGACGACTCGGGTCCTAGCTGATTTGGAGTGCCATGGTAGTCCATTCAGGAGCCATCGCAGCCTGACTCAGTCAGCCACTCCACTCCACACAATACACATCGGATCGACCGCGCGATCTGAGTTATCCCGTTAGTTGGTAACCCTCCAAACCGCGGCTTTTAGCGCACTATGACAGCTTCAAGCGCGTTAGATTGTTTACAATGAGAAAGAAAAAGCTGAACTGTCGACCTCACATCCTCCCCCACC